TACTTACCACTTCGCTTTACCACCATTTAAGAATCATTGCCAACACATTGGATGGAAAAAATGAAAATCTACAACAGCACAACACCAAAACAACATTCATTTCAATTTATATTCAACCAAAATCAAAGGATTCAAGAGGATAACCCACTCAAAGTAAATTTATGTGCTCAATTTTGCTTTGACAAAGACAAATGTCTACGGAATAGTTATGCACATGACGAACCTGAAAGGAAACTTCAAAGAACCTAATCATAAGTCCAGAATTTATCAGAAGACTAGATGGATGCAAGACTAATTTATACATAAATCCTACTTTCTAGTGACCACTATAATAAAGCTACCGTCAGCACCATATGGATAATTTTTTAAGTTCTGCGCACTATCTTGCAATTACAACTAAGAATGAAAATAGAAACTACCTACTTATCGAATTTACTCTTTATTTCCAGAATATCAAGCTTAACGATCACAAAGCAGTATCTGTTGACTCATTATGTTTCATGTTGGTCTGGTTTATTCTCAAAACTTAATATATTTCCAGCGACTCCTCCAAATGGCTAATTTGTAAGTTCCGCGCACTTTATCTAGTAATTACAACTAAGCATGAAAATAGAAACTACCTACTAAGAGAATTTACTCAGCAGGAAAAGGAAGTCAAAACTTAATATATTTCAGGAATATCAAACTTAACGATCACAAAGTACATCCTGTTGACTTAATAATATTGTATCATGTTTCATTTTGTTATGGTTTATTCTCAAAACTTAATATATTTCCAGTGACTCCAGTCAAATCTATTTTCTAGCACAGAAACCCAAAGTTATCTTCTCATTTACATTGCAAGACAGAGATGTCCCACCTTGCACACAGTTAATGTACATGCTCAGGACTTATGATTTCCTCAAAAAGCACCAAAACAGCTTCAGATAAAAATTTAGTATTCATTTCCAGTTAATTGACAAAACCAGTCTATTCTATTCTGTTAAAACCATAAATGAAGTTCTCCTTGGGGAGTTTAAGCAGAAGGAACATCCCCACCTGCCCAGCCACTACTGCTTCCCGCCGCTGTGGCGTAGAAGCGTACCAATGATATATTAAAAGTGATTAGGAATTAAAGTAGGATCCACACTGATTAGCCAACAATTTTCTAATTCCAAGCGCAGAAGTGCATTTGAGATTTCAGATTAACATCATGAGCAAAGTTCTTTTTGACACAACAAACATGCATATATAAAGTATATACACATAAAGCCCACACATATACATGAACATATATGGGCATTTCAAAAAGTATGATGAAGACGAGGATTTAATTATTTATCCATGAAAAAACTTGTCACTTCAATAACTCTATTTCTTTGAAATGTTTCAGACTTCTAGTTGAATTGATTTGTTCTCTTAACAAAAACTCTTAAAGCTCAATGCTATACAAAGAGAGAGACCATGTAATTTTTCCTAAGATTCATCAGAACTTGCATTCTCCATTGATTTAAATGGCACATCTAACCCTAGAGTTACTAAAGGAATTCAGGGTGACTGGTAGAGAACTTTATGTGAAGAAAATCTAAATCCCTTCCCCTCTTCATTTTTTGGTATTTCTTGAAGATCTATCAACCTCCAAGGCATGCTAGTTTTCAGTTATACTGCAATATTTACAAGGTTTTCCTTATTTAAATACACTAATAGTATATTTAAGGCCTGTTTGGTTGACAGATATTTAGTTAAGGTAAGGTAAGGAAACCACATAAGAAAGGAAAATTTGAACACTTCCATTCATACTAAAATGAGAACTAAAAAAAATAAAAAGTCAAGATTGGTTTGGGAATTTCAAAAAAAAAAAAAAATAACAGATAAGTACAATGGAATTAAAAAATGAACATTTATCCTTACTTCCACATTTTCATTTCGTGTCTGTTAGGCCAACAGGAGTTACAGGACTTGGGTTGGCAAATTTCTGTTCAAAACTAGACTGTACTACTTTGTTTTTGCTTTCAGTTAGAATATTGAATGATAGTGTCGGGTTAGTTTCCTCTCATCCATGAGAAGAATTGGTATTGAAGCTACATTCAAGGGCAAAAAGGTGATCTACAAAATCAAGTTATAAAGGTAAATTGAATGTATGCACACGCCAAATAAGGGTTCATGCATTCATCAGTTAAGGTTTCATAGATTTTGTGTTTGATTTACAAAAATCTTTTTTGATATGCATTATGAATTCTTGAAAACTTCTATTTTTAAAATTTTCTAGGTAAAACAAGTACGGAGGACTTCGACCAATCAAACGATTAGTTGAAGACTTCTGGACTAGTGTCAATCGATCAACGCTCTATCTCAATCGATCAAGCAATGCAGAATTGTAGTTTCCTTCTCAGATTAAAACTATAAAACCTAATCCGTCAGCATCTCTATTTTGTGTATAAATAAACATGTACTTCACAGAACCTATTATACATTGAGATCAATAGTCAGAAAGACATATATTGAGAGTGCATAATGTTTCAGTTTTCATTCATCAATAATCATATATTCTAGATTAGTGAGTGAGATACATGTGTTGAATAATCTTCTGTTGTTGAGCTTATTTAAATTTCAACACGAGTCGATCACTCATCAAAGATTGGATTCGATGACTAGCCTAGAAGATCAAAGTACTAGTGCAGAATCAGATTGCATGAAAAAGCATGATTTATTCCGAGAGCAGACTATGTGCCTGAAGACTTGAGTAAAAAGTTGGTGGGTCAGTCTAGGTCAAAAGGTAACTAGGGTTCTAGATATATGAACTTTTAACCTAGTGTTGTCTCATTTATACAATGGATTCTGTGGCTTTTTCCCTTGGGGTTTTCCCGTAATAATCTCTTTGTCCATTTTGTTTTACTTGTACTGCTTTTACATTATATGTTTGATAAATTAAATTTGAATTGCAAGATGGATTGAGTGTGTTCACATTTACCCTATTAAATTGGTTTCTGAATTATTGATAATCAAAAAATACTAATTTAGTTAAAACTTACAAAATTAGTTGAAGTTAGTTGTTTAAGCTAACCAGACATATTCACTCGAATCACTCCTTCTTAGTCTAGACCATGGGCCTTGTGCTAACTCCACGTCAAAGACTAACGTTACGGTCCTTTATTTCTCACTCTCTAATTTCCATGGTAACCAAACAAAGGAAAAGATCTCCTTTACATTGTCATAATTACCTTACTAAATCCTTGAACCAGACAGACCCACTCCTCTTATTGAACTTCATTTTCTTGATATCATCGTGTTTAATTATATTAGTTTTGCAGTACAAAATATTATCCACATGAAGTGATAACATCTATCTACAAGGTACACAACTAACTCCTAGTGAGAAATCAAGAAAAGGTGTAAGAAAAAACAGTAAAATAACTCACTGCATTCCTGGCTGACAACAAATCATTTTCCTCCTCAAAATGTAATACAAATGACAAAAAAATGATGGAATGAACAATCAATAATGAAGCTTTATTTATTTATTTATTTATTTATAGATAAGTAACAATCAATAATGAAGCTTTAAAGTGCTCGAGCCTTGAGGGAGACTAAAAGAAAATTCTGAGTCCATACAACCCAAAAAATGCTCAACTATTTACAAGTGTAATAAAATTTTGGGGGAAAATAAAACCAAAAAAATCAATCTTCCAAGTAAAAAAACATTTTGCTAATACCAATTATAAAAGCATAAATCCTAATAGAGCACTAAAGCCATTGATCAAATGCAATAACCATTAAATTTACATGAAAATACAGATCTCAATTCGATAAATTCGTATACATGTTGCTTTAACGAGAAACAAAATCTCAAAGATTTCATATACACCCCACAAGGGTAGAAGCCTGTCATATGCACTATATTCAAAAAGTTAAGTGTAAGCATAGACACATATTCACCATAAGGGTACTTATAAAAAAATTTATCTATTCCCATAGGCTTATAAGCCTGTTGTAAGCATTATGGCAAACAGTTCAGTAAATATACTCTGCATAAGGGTACAAGCCTATCATAAGCATTGTTTCCCAATAACGCACTATAGCATAGTTATCAACATGCACATACAACTAAAATTCAGTTTCCATGAATATATATATATAATTTTTATAAAAAAAAAGCAGTTTAGCTGATAAACATAAATGCCATTCCAACTAGAAATAGGATCCAAATGCCAAGTATATATCACCATAAGGTCATGAGTTTGTAGTACAAACTACATAGTACAAACTACATTCAAACAAATTAGAAAAAGAACCAAATTCGGCATACAATAAAAACAAATCTACATATAAATACAATCCTATTTCACTCAATTCACACATGTCCTTCCAAAATAACATTTATGATCTTTCATTTCCCTGGTAGGTAACATAACAGAAATTATAAAACACCACAAAACATATACACGGACAAGATGGTACTTCCTAATAACATAAATACACAACTTATGAATATAAACCAGTCCTAAACAATATGCGCAAACAAAATTTATCAAACATGTGTGTGTGCGCGCGTGCTCACGCAAACAAAGCTTAGAACACCAAAATTTAGATTCAATAAGCATAAATTCAACATCAAGTGAAGACCGCAATTCAGCCAAATTCATAAATTTGTAGAACATGAAATAGTCCCAGCTTCACCTGCAACTTGGATATAACAAAAGGGTAGCAATTTGCAACAAAACACTATATTCATGCAAATTAGTCAGGGCATCAATATCAGTACAAAATAAAAGCAAGTCTAAATATAAATTGAATCCCATTTCACTCCATTCACATATGTTCTTCACTCTTTTCATAATAGCATAAGATTATGTTTAATTTTTTTTCCCTCAATAGACAATAGAACTCTATTAATTCTCTAAATGTACAAGCAGGTCCTTTATAGTTTACCAAATCTTATAGAAGCACAACTTATAGCGTCCAGTCCTAAACAGTATGTTTAATCAAAATGTATCAAATGTGTGGGCGCGCACAAACAAATATTAAAAGCGTCAAAATGTAGATTTATTGTGCACAAAGTCAACATAAAGCCAACAATTTTCGTCAAATTTACATAGTAGTACGTTCAATATGAAATAGAATTCCAGATACTATACCACACATATTAATTCAAGACTATCCAGTCAATTCTCTCACCCACGGGCCTTGAGCTCGGCCAAGCGCCTCGTCAGGTCGTCCTCGTCGACTTTCTCCGAGCTCGGCACCGACACGGCGTGTGCCGCCGGCTGAGGCAGCCCCACCGACACCTCCAACCCATAATCATCCGCCACCTGCTGCATCAAACTGTTCACCTCTCCCTCCGGGGTCGACAGCGACGTGCTTCCGGCCATCGAGCTCTCCATAAACTCGGCCTGCACCTCCATGTTCACGAACTGGCGCTCGAACTGATCCATCGTCTCCGACATCTTCTGCAGATTCCCGGTGGCGAGCGTGGACTCGAGCGACTTCACGATCGAGCCCATCGACTTGCTGATCGTGGTCATCTTGGCCTGCGTGTCGAGCCTCGCCACGACGGCGTCGAGCCGGGAAGCCAATCGGAGATAATTCATTTGCTCGCTGCGCTTACGGATGGAATTCTCGGCGTAGATTCGAGCTCCGTCCATGTTACCCTTTTCTATGGCTTTCTTGACCTTGAGTTTCTCGGATTTCTCTTCTTTCTCGCACTTTCTCGCTTGGCGTTGGAGGCTCTTGGAAGTGAACTTGAGCTCCATGATCTGGTTCATCAGTTTCTCCGTGTTCCCCATCGCTTATTTAGGGTTTGCACGGAAATTTGGAGAGACAGAGATTCAAATCTAGGGTTTAGAGAGAGCGAATTGGGGATGGAATTGATTGTTTGATCCTTGACTCTCTCTCGGTCATTCCCGTTATGTACCTGACGACAATCGAGTGACCGTTGATTTGTTGGTGGGCCGACCTTGAGCGGGTCGATGTTAATGCAGCTCAACCAAGGCCCAAAATAGTCGTAGCCTAGTCAAGGCCCATTTCTGTAAATCTACCCAAACAATTTACTAGATTCGGGCCCATATATTCCCCAAACCATGAGTCACCTCAACATCTACAGAATAAAAAAGACCCTTTCCCGAGTCTTTTTGGTACTTCCTTTGTCATGTGTTGCACTGATGGTTTACTAAAATAAAGAATGAGATTAGAACAAGAGAAATCTAGGTCCTAGCATTTCTTTGTTGGGTAAAATCTGCCAATTGAGTGTTGGAATATCTATCAAGTTTTACTTTTACGAACTTTACCTATATTTAACCCAATCAACCAAAATTTATCCCAATTAAAAATAGATTAAAAAAAATTTTTAAATTGTAGCATTCAATTTCATAAATAATGTGTGTTAATCCCAAATTTTCAACCTAAGGTATTTCGATAAATTTGATGATAACAAGTTATTAGTGTGAAAAATGTGATATTTTACTTAAGGGTGATTAAAAATTCAAATGATAATTAGACTCGAGCAATCCAAAGCTCAATAGGAAAGCTCAAATGGCTCATGGTCATGGGACTTAAAACCTCAAAGGATATTGAAGATTAAGTCAAGACTATGGATGGTATAGCTAAGACTTTTCTAAAGTAATTCATGTAGCATTTGTTTAATTTGAAAGCTCAAGTCTAGGAAGTAAAAGAATTTAGAACCCATCCCTTGATTGAAAATACCATCTTAAGGTCTCTAGGATCATTGACTTGGTCCAAACGATTCACCTTGTAAGGGCAAAGTAGTCTATTAACTTAATCAAAGTCAATTTAATCCTTAGAAATTTCAAAGACTTGGGGCTCGTTTGTCAACCGCTATTATTTCGTGTTTTTGCTATGATCCGAAACATAAGCAATGTTTCTTCTTTAAAGTGTGTTCAACATTATTTCTAAGCTTATTTGATAACATAAATTTACTGTAAGATTTTTGAAAGCAGAAACATGAAAGCATGTTTGGTAAAAAGTGTTACAAGTTTGAAAAATTGAATAGTTAGTTAAAAACGTTATTTTATAAAGAATTTTTTTTTCTTTTTAATAGAGATTTGCTACCGTGCGAATACAAAAAAAATAAAAATAAATAAAATCATTTTTTATGATTTTGATTTTGGTTTCAATTTCAAAAGCGGCTAGGTGCTATTCAAATGACAGTAAACATTACCAATACACTTGCTAAAGCTAGCCCGTTAGATGTCTATACGACCAAAATTGCAAAGGGGTTTATGCCAAAGGAGTCATATACGTCTATATGGTTCTTACAGACATCTATATATATGTTCATCATCCGGCCTTTAACTGAAACTGAGTAATTTTTTGTAAATTAAAAAAAAAAACAAAACAAAAACTTTTGAGAACTTTATTGAATTGGGAAATTCTCTTAAAAATCATATTGAGCATTTATACATTCGTGATCTAGAGTTAGAAGTTTCATCTTTGGTTCATCTATTACTCTGTTTATCTATCCATTGAGGGGATGGATATTCGTTGTTGTATTAAAAAAGTTCTCCATATTTGAAAATTGTTGTAAAAGGGTTGGTGTAACTTTTGAAGTCTAACTATTTAAAAAAACTAAAAATTAAGTACTGAATAAGTTGTTTTTAAGTGGTAATTAAAAAATAAATATTTTTTAATATTTTTTAAAATTTTTAGTATTCAGCAAGTGATGTTTCTTTCACTTAAAATTTTATCATATTTTAGGCGGTGCAGCATTTTAAGTAATATTCAAATTACGTTATCGAACACACTTAATTGAATAAACGCTTAATTCATTCAAAATTAAGCGTTAAATTGAATTATCAAACAACACCTAAATGAAGAGTTCACTTAGTAAAGAGAGACAAAATTCTGAACCTTTATAAGGGTTTCTTCTTCACCCATGAAGGAGATTACTATGGTTGATTTGATATCCTCGAAAGATATTCTTGAGCTGTGGGGATAGGTAGAGTGTCAAACCACGTTACTATTTGGTGTTGCTTGCGTTTGCATTTTTCTACCCTTATCTCTCTTTTTTTTCATAATTGGTACTCACACACACATGTCTCCACTGAGGTTTAAACCCTTGACCTCCCTTTGAAAAGTAAAGGCTAATACTGCTAGGCACCGACCCGTTAGTACCCTTATCTCTCTTTACTTTTACCTTGTTTACTTTTAGTTTACTTACCCTTATTTTTTTAATACAAATGAATATAAAAATTTACATAGTTTCCCAAAGACCCAATTCACCCTCCTTAGGTCATTGTTTGGGTAACAATGTGATTTACTATTTTTAACTTTTGGGGTAGCATAATGGAATTTGCACAGGCTCTAAATTATTAGGAGAAGTTATTACATGGTTTCGAATGATTCATTTAGAACTGTTCACTATTAAGCATGTAAACAATTGTGTTAAAGGTGTGCAATTTATTTATTTATTTAATTATCTGTTTTGTTTTTCAATGATGATTAACTAATACTCCGACTGCATTTAAAAAAATTTCAAATCATTTGGATTTTGTCTTTTTTGTTTTTTTACATTGAGAAAAAACACGTGCTTTGTAAGATTATTTATTAATTGTGTGGCCCACATGATTTGGACATGTGATATATTTCATTAATTAGTAGTTAAGTAAATAGATATCGGATTAAAATTATATTATTTGGTCAACTTATGAATGACCTTTATGGTAATTAATTATGTTTTCCTATTTATTTCTTATTTTGATGGAAAGTGAAATTAAGATTACTAAAAGGAAAAACTGACCATCTCTCTGCCTTTATAAAAGTGCATATATCCCATCAATTATGTACGCTAATAAAACAACACGCTATAATTTTTATGTGTGCAAAAGGCCAAGAGAGATAAATTAGTTTCCACGCTTTGCCTAGTGGCAGTTTAGTTCGTTGTTAAAGAATCTCCACGTTGGACTTGATCTCAATGAGATCTGCAATTACAGATCGAGATATTTATATCTAACTATTTATTTATGCATTATAGGAATGCGAAAATAATGAAGTTCTAAGATTTTGGGGATTCATGTTTATTTGTGATAAATGCTTGATACAAATTATTAAAGTTTATATGTGGTATCAGAGCTTATAGTTTAGGGACTCGTTATTTTCTACTAAAGTTTACATAAATAATATATATACAAATTTAAAATAAAATTAAATATTTGTACTATGTACAATTTAGTTTTTTGGAATCATTGTGTAATATATGTTTATTTATTTGATCTGGGACTATTTGTGAAGTGCAAGGGTATTGTCATTGATTCCTGCTTCTGTGAGGTTGTGTTGTAAACTTGTACTTCATGAACAAATATATATATATCTATATATATATATATGTATCCAAATGTCCTGATGTATTTGATTCCATTAATAAAGTCTTGTCTGTATATCAATTATTGTTGGATGATTATACATATTCTATTTTATTAATTATTTGAAAAATTAATAAATTTTTATTTTTTATTTTTTTTTATGACCCAGAACTCCTTGAGGCAGGGCCCTTTGGACTTACCCCCATGGCGCCCCACAACTACAGTACCAGGTAAGCCGAGGAAATTGGAGACTAGGGAAGAGTCGAACACTGGCCAATTGGGTGCCAGCCCCGAGCCCCTACCATCACTGCCAAGCCCCCGGGGGCAAAAAATTAATACATGTATTTATTTATTTTATTACAAATTTAAATTTCTGAAATAATTTGTAAGTCTAGAAATTTAATTGAATATTATTGGACATACAAATAATTTATTGTTTTGTATCCAAACATACATACATGAAGGAAAATCAATTTTAAATTGATTCAATTATAATGTCCAAATCCGAAATAAATAAAAATATATATATGTTTTATTATATATATAAAGTAAAAGAATATTTTTTTTGAATTTTCGGACTATTAAGTTTCTAGATCGAACTTAACTAAACTTGGATCGATCAGTATGAGTATGTGTGTATAATGTTAAATGGGTAAATTAATAATTAATTAGTTATTAGCTAATTTAATATTCATATTATGTGAGGGTTAGTAGCTACCAAAGTGGCCCAGCCATAATAGTTGATGGATATTAATTTTAGTGGTACACATAATTGCAATATTTCATGAATTACAATACTTATGATTTTTTGTGATATTCATGAATATTGAGTTTATTTAATTATGAGAAATAATTCCTCAAAGGAAATTGATTTTCAAGTAATTAAATAAAAATTAAGGAGTTGTATGTATTTTTAATTGGGTAGATATAAGATATCCAAAGATAACTTAGCTGTTTAATTAAATAATGCATTACCAATTAAGGTATAATATAAATACAAATAAGTATCATTATTAGTGTTTTATAGTTGCCACTCAAAGGGGTACTATAGTTATACATTGTATTTATATTTTAAGTTATATATACGTGTTGTTAACTCAAAGCATTATTGTTGTGAGCATTTTATCCTATTATGTTTGTTTTATTATATCTCTTAATTCGCATGCTATATCTGTTCTGATTCTTAATAGAACTAACTTCTCATAATGGAATAGGTAAGTTAAGTTCAAAATTTAGGTGTGTTAAATCTTAATTTAGCATTTTAAATTGAGAAACATATTGTTATTATTGATAAAGACAGTGAGGAAGAAAAGATTCTCCATAAAGTTTGGAAGAAATCCAACAGATTAAACATTATGGTTATGCGAATAATTGTTCTCAATAGTGATAATGCTAAGGAATATTTGACTATAAGAATGTTTTCGAATTGTAGATAAATATTTAAAATAAAAATTATTAATTGATATCACTACTATACATTTTTATTAGTACTCGTACCATGTATAAGCATATTTTTAGATGACTAATGTTGTTACAAAATTGAGAACCTTATGGATGATTATGGATGAGAATTTTCTTGT